TGTAATAGCGTAGGATATTTAAATTCTGCAATTTATCGCTTTCCATATTATTGCTAGTAATTAGGGTTTGTATGGCAAGAATAAAATCAAACTTTAGACAACCCTAAATTCAAGATAAAATACATGAAAACAACACACTTTTCACACATGCACCTATAGGGTAACCCACACTTGTTACCTCGGATATAAACATGTCATGTCCCTCGAACGTGAGATGTTTTAGCAAAGACCCTCGATTAAAATATTGTAGTCCTTCGATGACCCTTCAATGTTGCCTTCGGTAAACAATCTTAGTCCCTTACGACAATTGCTAAAAAAATTTTACAAGTTGCCTTCTATGGCTGTACGATGACCCACGTCCGTCCGTCACATCCAATGATATGGCTCTCTACCCACTAATGGTAGACAAGCACTATTTAAAGGAGGAGGAAAAGAATAAAGACTTTTGAGTAGGTAGATTGTTCGTAATTTCTTGCTCACAAACAAAACCATTTACACCTCACACTTTCAAAACACTTTTCAAACAAACATTTTGTATACATTCTCAACTATATGAGAATCATTACAAAATGGCCTTACACTGGCATTTTCAAACATCTTTCCAAACATTCCTTTTCAAAATATTTTCAAAACCAACACTTTATATACATTCTCAACGATGCGAGAATCATTGCAAAGTTTGCCAAACTTAGGCATTTTCAAAATATTTTCAAACTTACACAAACACAAAGCATTTTAAAGTGATCAAGCAATTAAGAGCCCATAGATAACTACGGATGAAAATGGTGCTAACACCTTCCCTTTTCATAACCTACCCCCCGAACTCAAGAAAATTCTCAAAAGGTCTTTCCTGTTCTTTTCACCCTTTCCTTTATTAGATAAAAGAAAAGTCGGTGGAGACTCTTGCTATCCGCAACATTTGCGATCAAACGTAAAACAACCAAGTCAGTTCTCCCACCGTATCATGTGTACTTTAACCAAGCACACTCGAAAGATGCACCCCTGAGCTGACTAGGGTTAACTTTATAGCATGTGTATTTTGGCCTTTATATATGGACAGGGGCTGGCACCCCCTGGTGATCATGAATATACCCAGCCTACACGTAAACAAAGAGGTTGACTCCCATCGTGGTACTCCTTGCTAAGTGGTAACTCCTTTTGTGGTAACTCCCGAGCAAAAACTTAAGTCAATGCACACTCTAAGCCTCTCGCACAGTTAAACACATCTCAGGGTATGAAAGTAACCAAATTAAGTCGATATGCACTCTAAGCCTCTCATACGGTCAACCTCACCAAGGCTCTCAAACTGTTCTCGGTGTATCCTTGCAAGGGGCTCTGAAACTTTAAAATCAGTTAAGCCTCCGGGCCTCTGTCTGCATAAGCCGGATAAGCCTCCGAGTCTTTCTCGCAAACTCGCTTAAGGCATCTTTCTGCATCAGTTAAAAACTCCCCTCACAAGGGTCGAGTAACATCAACACTCCCCTCACAAGGGTCGAGTAACATCAACACCCCCTCATAAAGGTCGGGTAGCACAAGTCGTACGCTCCCCCATACGAAGAAAAGTGACTCATAAAATAAACTTCGAGGAATTATTGTGAAAAATAGACATGTAAATAACTGGGGATTTTTATAAAAACCGGCATTACATGATCGGACACGTATAACCCGATAAAGACTCTATGTCCGAGGGGCTTATATATATGCACCGAATTATCTTCAAAGCCAAAAATGCATGAACCAAAGAAATGCAAAAGCTAAAGATACAAATAAATGGAAAACATCAGTTACAAAGCCATGAAGGGTATGTAAAAATACAAAACCCAGAGGCAGAAGACATGATTATAAAATACTCCTCATACAAGAGGCATAAACTTTATAATCCTCATAAAAAAGAGTTGAGTACATGACCGGAGTGGAATCATGCGCATCCGGTCAACCCACCTTCGAGTAAAGAAAATCTGAACCACAAAATGGTCAAACACCGAGACTCCTTGGTATATTAATATGCCTCGAGCCCTGACAACTTACCAAGACCTCTGAAAATTATCTAATGAAGTCTGGGGCTTTCATTGATACCCAACAAAAAAAAACTTACCTCAATGACAAATAATATTTTAAAGTCGGACGGATAAAAAAACCCATTATGGTAATTCCCAAGCTCAACAAAGCTCGCTTGAGGCTTATCAGTCCAAAAAACAAATAAGTGAATGATCACCCAACCTCAAACGAGTTTAGGGGGTCTTAAAAGAGATACCAGACTGATTGCATAAAACAACCAAAAGTGACATAAAACTAAGTACATAAAATACTTAGTTCGATTGACTTCACATCTAGGATGAAAATAACAAATATGCAGAGCCAAGCCATTGGTTGTTCTAAAAGAATCTGGGCAAGCTTGGAGCTCATACGAGCATAGACTCTCATCCTACAAAATTACCCGGATAAACCAGAGACCATTGAGCATATGCCAGGGATACAAACCAAACCCACAACCCGACTGGGGCTGCGATAGGTTCGAAAAATCCCAAAATAAAACATAATTACAAATCCCCAAAAGGCAACGTTGTTCATCACAAAGCTCGGGGAAGAAATCAAAGTCTATCCCAAAACACGCTGATTATTTAGAATACCAATTATCGGAAAATAACTATTTTGGTCACCAGGGGGTATGGACCCAATCTCTGATCTGGGGCTCGCCGATAATGGTGTCTGCCTTTGGGCCGGTTCCTTTCATCTTCTTCACCACTCTAAGCTCTAAACCAGTCAAGTCCATACCTAAAAAACTAGGTGACTGTTGGGGAAACTAGGGCGTGAGCGTCACACATTCCGGGAATGAACTCGACAATCGTCCGGTTATAGGGGCCTGGCCCGGAGCAAAAGATCAATATCCACGTTGACCAAACATAGGGATTCATATAAAGTTATATGCTCGTGGAACCTATTTTCATATATAGATCCATTGTTCGGGCTAGGAGAGATAAAAATGCAAGATATAATAAAAGACCAAGAAGGACAAATAAATGCTGAGTCGGGTTGTGCTTGGCTGGGTAGTGCCAGGTCGCGTTGTACCAGGTTGGGTTGTGCCAAGTCGGGTTGGTTACCGTTACAGAACCCAATATGTAGCAGTTACAAACGTTACGAGTCATTGTGGACGGTTACAATCGTTAGAGTACTTATGGACAGTTACATATGTTACAAACACGTTAATAACCATTAGGCCAAGGACTTGCCTATATAAGGAGTATTTAGAGAGTGGAATAAGGGACCCGGGCTAAACATTTCTCTCTATCTCACTACTAATTCTCCGTGACACATTTCAGAGAGATACTACATATCATATAATAGGGCTCTCGACTGAGGGGTAAGTAAAACACATCGCTTGGAGCTTACACATACTCGTGTAAGCCTCTGAGTCTCTCAAAATCATAAACAACATACTCTCACATTACCAAGGCTTTCCCTGACGTCCCCGACTAGCAGGAAAGTCACATATTTAGTATTTAGTAAGAACAAGTATGATTGGTTAAGAGTAGAAAGTGATAAGAGAGAAATATAAAAGAGAGAATGTAAGAAGAGAGAAATATGTGAGAAACAAATTAGATTTGATGAATTATTTGTTGTGATAGAAATGTAAGAGAAATAAAAGAAAGAGAAGTGTAACTATTTTTAAAAAGACATAATTAACCTTAAATTAAAAATTAAAAAATAAATATATTATGATGATAAAGATAAAACAAAGGGATAAATAAGGAGAAAAAAAGAAGTATGAAAGTCTTCTCTCCTATTTCTTCTCCCTTTTGAAGAGAAGTTAAAATGAGTGAGCCCTACATGAAATTAATCACTCTTACCTCTTTCTCTCCTTCACCAAGCAAAGAAGTGTCACACTTCTTTTCTTATTCTCTCACTCATATCTCTCTCTTCTCTATTTCTTCTATTTCTTCTATTCCAATCAAAGTCTATAAGTAACTTTAGTGTTGAGAGAGTGAAAAGATGTGAGAATTATATTGTTCTGTTGTTGTAGTGAATTTATATTGATAGAAGGTTAGTTACAATTAACTTTTACACTCCCAACAAATTCATGATTTCCATATTGATCTTGATCATAAACTTAAGAACCTCGGTAGAAGATTAAACATTTACCTAAATCAAGCTTCATATGTATGGTGAAGAAAGAAGAACATGTTCAAAACAACATCCATAAAAATATTTAGATTTAGTAAAAAAATACCCATTTCTTACATTCTTATTAATAAATATCAGATCCAACTATACTCATTGTTGTTGGACAACCCAAATCATTTATGATGAACTTTCAAAGTAAGTTTTCAAAAAAAAATTGTCTCATCGATATCTTTTTATCATTTCAAAGAGTATTATCATCATATAAAGTGGAATAAGGAGGTGATATACGGATTGGGATTGAGTGTCTTTGAGGCGCCAAAGACACTGTACCTTTATGTATACCTCTTACTTAAATTATTCTTTCTCATCTTTTTTCTCTCTATTTTTTGACTTTCTCTCTCTTTAAAAGTAACTAAAGTTATCAAAGGCATTGATTTGAAAGTCACTTAATCCAATCCTAAAAAATACTTTACACAAAAAAGAAAAAAATTATACATGATTAATAGTACATGAAATTAATAACATGTTTGGTTTGACTTAAATGAGTATTGCGGAGTTTCCCCCTCAAACAAACATGTGGCAGTTGATAAGACATAAGCATTGTGGAGTTTTCCATAAGTCGTAACCATGAATCTTCATTGAGAAAAAATAGAATCTTATCGTGTTAGTAGAGCTACCCTTGTCTCGTTTGACTTGACTATCCTAGAAAACTCCATTTTATAAAATCAAAATCAATTCGTGGCACGGTGTCGAGTTTGAGTGTAGAACTTTTTCTACGACGCTAAACCCAACTACGTAACCCCTTATTTTTTCTTCAACTGCAAAACCCCAACACACTAGTTCATTGCATCTTCATTATTTCCATTCGATTCCCAACGATGTCATCACCAATCGCCACGCCTCCTCCACCTCCAACCACCGCCTCATCTCCCCCCTACGACCGCCTCAAAGCCGTCAAAGACTTCGACGAAACCAAAGCCGGAGTAAAAGGCCTCGTCGACTCCGGTATCAAAACAATCCCTTCTTTCTTCATTCACCCGCCCGAAACCCTATCCGACCTCGCTCCCGGATCCGGACCCGAACCCGAACCGGAAGTCCCAACCATCGACCTCTCTGCTATACACCACTCCCGCTCCTCCGTCATTGATCAGATTCGTTCCGCTGCGAGTACCGTCGGATTCTTTCAGGTGATCAACCACGGCGTACCGCCAGATCTACTGCGAAGTGTTATCGGTTCTGTAAAGGCGTTTCATGAACAGCCTGCGGAGGTTAAGGCGCAGGTGTACCGTAGGCAGGTAGGATCGGGCGTATCGTATATATCCAACGTCGATCTCTTCACTTCTAAAGCTGCCAGTTGGCGTGATACACTTCAGGTTCGGCGCGACAATTTCAATTTCACATACTCAATTTCAAAATTTTAGGGACTAAGTTATCTGATGTATACAATTTTCAGAATTAAAGTTATTTGATTGTTATTTAAATGGAATTTCACAGATTAGGACGGGACCGATTGCCGCGGAAGAGAAGGAGATTCCAGAGGTGTGCAGGAAGGAGGTGATGGAGTGGGATAGAGAAGTAGTGCGTGTAGGAGATATTTTGCTGGGTTTGTTGAGTGAAGGGTTGGGATTAGGTGAAGGAGGGCTCAAGAAAATGGGTTTGTCACAAGGGAGGTTGATGGTTGGCCACTATTACCCATTTTGTCCTCAGCCTGATCTTACTGTTGGACTCAATTCCCATGCAGATCCAGGGGCACTCACGATATTGTTGCAGGATCATATCGGTGGCTTACAGGTTAGGACCCAACAGGGTTGGGTTCATGTCAAGCCTCTTGATGGAGCCTTGGTTATCAACATTGGAGATTTACTTCAGGTCAATTATATTTTCTTTCGTTTTGTTTTTTTATTTCGTTGGAAAGCTCATCATGGAAACGGCGTTTTGTGTCTCAGATCATTTCTAATGAGGAGTACAAGAGTGCTGATCATAGGGTATTAGCAAATTCTTCTAATGAGCCGCGAGTCTCAAGTGCTGTTTTCCTAATGCCGGGTGACAGAGAGAAGCTCTTTGGACCTTTGCCAGAGCTAACATCAGCAGAAAAACCTGCTCTTTATAGAGATTTCACACTCAACGAATTTTTGACAAGGTTCTTCAAGAAAGAGCTAGATGGTAAATCATTGACAAATTTCTTCAGACAATAATGTATTTATAGCTCTGGTTGCAGCTGATATATCAATGTAAATGTAACTTTGTAAAATGGTCACTTCACTGTTGATACTTATTGTGCAATTACGTTGTTGAATAAATTTACAATAAGTTTACAATATTCTTGAAAAAAGCTGTTATACAAACAAATCATTTACATTTATCCTTTTGTATTTATTTCAAATGAAAGACATGGTTGTGTGTAGCATCCTTAGTGAAGTCAAGATTGACATTCAGTAGCACTAATCTGTTATTCATTTTTAAAATTGGTATTGAATTTTTGTTTTGTGATTGTTCTGTAATTAGTTGCTTTATAAAAAGGTAGTATTTGAAACGAATCATTCATGACCAGTGAGTGTTTCTGATTTCTCAAATACTTGAAGAAAGGTTTGGCTCTCCTACGAGTGTTTGTTAATTCATCCAGCTACTAAATATCACATTACTATGCACTGCACATTTTAATGTGTTCATGTTTGTATATGCGTTTCCCCACCTTTTCTTGCGGCCCAATGCACATTAGGATGTGATTTTCTGAAGCTCCAAATATTAGCATCAGGCTATACGTACGTTTGAAAGGGTTTAAACGTGAAAACAAACATCTGTGGTCATATAATGTTATTTCAGAAGCAGCAGAATTTGGTACCATGATTTGATAAAAAGTCATATAATGTTTTGAATTAAAATCAAACCATATTCTCATGTACTCAGTTTCAAAACAATATATAATCTGTTAATTATTAGAATTTTTTTTTCATTGATCTACCGTCTTTTCACAACATTTGGGGTCATATTAGAAGGGCACGAGCTTCGGGCATTAATTTGAAGTTTTTGAACATTCATAAGTTTTTATTTTAAAATATAGTATATATATACTATATACAACAAGCTTCAATATTAAACCATCTCTGTAGCATAAAATTAGAAAATTCCCTTAAATTTCTGATCAGAAACCACATTATGTCGTCAATAGGGTCGTGTTAGCAGAAAAGCATAGCGGTGATAAAGTTCGGCACAACCCCATCTCTGTGAGCCGTCTTCAACTATGGCGAATGTCATGGAAGCGAATTGCGGTATTCTGCTTATCTAGACTTAGTACCGCTGCGCATAATGTATTAATTGTAGTTGGCCATAAAAAATCTTAATTTTCCAACATAACTTATAACATGGATGAGCCAAAATTTTACAACTCCACCGACCATAGAGCAACATACGCTTCCAGTTGCAACTCAACACAAAATAAGGAGCCTCACAAGTATGTTACATATATTGACTCTGGTATTGGCCATAAAATTCAATGTTTCATACAAACATAAGAAGTATAAGGTCAAAGTCTCTTTTCCTAGAATTCTACCTTGCATTCTTTACCCTTTCCAAACCATTCAGCCATTTCTTCATCATCGGAACTTGGGTTATCAGAAGAACTAAACTCGTCATCGGTTTCACTTTGCCAAGAATGCTTTTTGCACTGATTTGGTGACTCATTCTTATAAGCTTCTTCCCTTTCTGTCTTAGACATGCCAGTCTTACCTCCAACAATCGGAAAAGCTAAAACTTTTGAAGTATCATTTGAGTTTTCTAAATACTTATGATGTTCAGTTTTATCTTCTACAAATCTCCACTTTTGTGAATCTCTATTCCTGCTCTTTCTCTCTGACGTCATTGGTGATTCTTTGTTACTATCCAACCGATATTCTGCAAAAGTCAATCTGCTATCTTCTCCTTGAGGTTGAAGGGAAGAGTTTGAAGTATTTGACACCTTAGGTCTTCTATGATCACATTTCAGGCAAACCATATTTCTTCTGAAATTGATGTAGTTGCACCTACACAAGCAGTTTTCATTTCAGTACCAAGTAAAACAAAATAACAAAAAAGACATAAACAAAATAACAATAACTTACGATTCACATTCCCACTCCCCTGGATTAATGCAACGATTTGAAGGCCCCTCTTTGCATTGCAAACATCTTGTATTCCTCGCAAAATTGAGGAAGTTGCATCTGCAAATAGCAAATTAATAGTCTTACTTAGGAATTAAATACTTGTCATACAAAAGCTACATGATATGATCGATCATTACTTGTTGCATATCCAATCTCCCTTCTTCAAAGGTAAATGATTATTATCCTCCTTCATTTGCTTGATTTTTTCCTCACAGAAGTTGTCACAGTGCAAGCACTTGATGTTTCTCGCAAAGTTGTGAAAATTGCATCTAGCAATGGATTTGAAACGAAAGCATAAACAGGTATAAAAAGAAGAAAAAAAATAGTGCAAATGTTTTACAATGATTGATTACTAGTTGGAAATAAAGCCATACTTGGGGCAAAGCCAATCGCCTTGCTTCATAGGACCGTGTTTTTTGCCTTTATCTTGTGGATTGCGATCAACTTCTTTCACATCAACGTTTGCAGTGTCTGAAAAATTGGGGTTTCTGTCTTCAGTACTGCACTCTACTATCTTTTTCAGCAGTCTTCTCACAGATTCTTTTACCATTTTATTAAGAGATGGTTTGTTATCCACTGAACCGATAATTGGGTCAAGCCCATAAGTCAAAATAATACGCATAACATCCACTGTTCTTCCACCTTCATCTTCACGCGCGTTCACGAATGCCCTTTCACAGTTCCCCCTCAAATTACACGAGCTGCACACCTGGTCGTAGCATCAGTGAAATGAAGTTTAAGAAGAAAAAAAATTCCGTTGTAGAAGCGAAATTATGAACTATGCAATAAAGAAAAGTAAACAATTAGAAACATGGTCATCAATCATCACCAACATTTCCCTCATCAATGCCCGCGTATGCTCTCAGACGCTTCCCAGAGTTGATCACTTTCCTATCTAAGCTTGGACATCCAAATGTTACGATAACTCCTATATCTTTTCGAGACAAAAACCTGGCGGAAAAAAAAGTCATTTGGAAAATTATGAAATGGGTGTGATTAGCTATATAACTAAAGCATTTAATAAGTTGTTTATGCACACAATTGTGAATTGAAACAATGCAACCATTGTTACACTACCAATGTCATATAGTTATAAACACAAACACCTTGCCTACGTACCTAAACATCACATTCAAAACCAACCCTTTCATACAAAACAGCTCAAATTACGGAAAAGACCACATTTTTATTTACCTTAAGAGATGAGAATGGTCTCTACCAAAGTTAAGGCAAGCGGTTCTAATAAGATTGGATTCTTTTGAACCCAAATGAGGATTCAAAAATGGGTTACCCTCTGCATGGAAGTGACCCTTTTTGAGCAAACATTCCATCAAGTCTACCCATTCAGGCCAAGGATGAGAAATCTGAAACGCGGGTTTCTCTTTATCTTCATCTTCTCGTTGTTGTTGTTGTTGTTGATTATTCCATTTGGATTCATGCAATTGGGTTTGGTTTGGATTGGAAAGTGTGTGAATGAGTGAAGTGAGGACAGTTTTGTCGTCGAAATTTGTTGTCGGGTTGTAGTGAAACTGATGACAACGTTTCAAAATGTTTCGGATCATTCCTACTGCTCCTTTTGGGTTCACCTCAATTTCATGCGTGATATTTGATATTTTTCATCAAGTTAAATACAGAAAATCACTTCAAACTAAGCTAAGAGTGTCTTTGTTTCAGAGGTTAAAATTACATTCTTTATAATGGTATTCTTAGCATTATTATATTTGAAAAATATTCTTTGTAATGGTATTCTTAACTATAAAATTTTGTTTAATTTTAAATTATAAAAAAATAAAAAATAATATTCCCTCGGTTCTTTTCTAATTATTACTTTTTAACTAGTGCATAAAAACAATGATAAACAAACAAATATATTTAAGAGAGTAAAGAATGATGGTTGTAAAACTGCAAAAGACAATATTTGTTGTTGTTTTATTATATTTACAACTAGTTTATTTGTACACAAAAATAAAGTCACATAGACCTTAATAGAATAGACTTAATAACTAAGTTATCTAAAATAATTATAAATACTAAAATACCCTTTAATACCATTGTTTAATTTAAAATTTCTAATTAAAACTAACTATACCAATTTCATCCTTTATGCGAAGAAATTGATACGTCTTGATTGCTTTTGTCATAATATCTGTCAATTGTTTCTGGGTGCTACAGTGCACAATTTCTAGTACTCCATTATAGACTTGACTTCTGAGAAAATGATACTTTATCTCAATATGCTTGGTTCTCCCATGTAGTACTGGGTTCTTAGCATGATTGATTGCAGACTTGTTATCAATCATCAACTTTAGAGGCTTATCTACGTTGATCCTCAGATTCTGTAGTAAATTCAGAAGCCACACAACTTGACATGCAACTACAACACCTGCAATGTACTCAGCTTCACATGTTTATAGAACAATATTAAATTGCTTCTTGGAACACCAAGAAATAGGACCTCATAGAAACTTAAACAAGTATCCACAAGTACTTCTTCTATCAACTTTATCTCCACACCAATCAGAATCAGAATAACTCATCAACTCTGAATTTGTCTTTCTTCCAGAATAGAATAGTACTCTAAACTTTAGAGTTTCCTTGATATACCTCAAAATTCTGACAGCAGCTTGGTAATGGGACCACTTAGGTTTACTCATGAACCTACTAACCAATCTAACCGCATAAAAAATATCAAGTCTGGTATTACACAAATACCTCAGAGAATCTATCAATTGTTTGAACATTGTAACATCTATGTCTTCACCCTCAGAGTCAGAATCTAATTTATGATTGGTTTCTAATAATGTAACAGCGCCTTACAATTCTTTAGCTTGAATTTTTTCAGAAGCTCAAGTTCATACTTCAGCTGATGCAAAATTTACCTTGTTCAGCCATTATTTATTTCCAATTAAGTGATTTGAGCAGCCAATGTCCATATACCACCATTCTACCAAATACTTATCATTAGAATCAGAAGCCATCGATATCACAAGTTCATCATCAGAATCTCCTCTAGCTATGTTTTCTTCTTTTGTCTTCCTTTCCTTGTTTGACCAACAATCTTTTAGCAAAATGACCAAACCTATTACAACATTAACATTGAACCTTTCTCTTATCAAGCTTATCCGTTCCCTTTTGATGTTTCTTCTCATTAGAGTTGAAGGCTTCTGACTTCTGAGAACCACCACCATGTCTCTTCTTGGCTTCTGACCAAGAACGCTTCTAGTCCTTCTTGACAAATGAAGCTTTCAGAGCCTGCTCTACCTCTCTTTCAGATGTTCTATCAGTTAAACGCAACTCTTGTGCATCTAGACTACTTTGCAGCTCTTTAATTCTCATGGTGCTAAGATTCTTAGAGTGTTTAATTGCTACAACAATTAATTAAATTGAGGAGTAAGAGATCTCAATACCTTCTCAATGATTACTTGTTCGGAAAGAGTTTCTCCACAAGATTTTATCTCATTTATGATCAAAATCACTCTAGAGATGTAATCAGATACCTTCTCATGGTTCTTCATATTGAGATTCTCATACTGATTATGTAGAGACTAAAGGTTCACCTTCTTCATTGACGCATCACTGTCGTGGTACTGTGTTAGCATATCCCACGCAGCCTTCACCGTCGTCGAATCAATAATTTTCTCAAATACGTTTGCATCCACACATTGATGGATGTAAAACAATGCTTTTATAATCTTTCTTCATCGTATCTCTTTGTGCATTTCTCTGTTCCTTGTAATCGGAACGTAACCTTCGGTGATGAGATCAATAACGTCTTGAGCACCAAACAACACACGCATCTGAATCATTCATTGATTTCAATTATTTCCATCAAATATCATAAGCTTTGTATTCAAACTGTTTCTATCGTTCATCTTCGTTCTTGTGTATTGAAACTCAGATCTCACCAAAACACTCGTGTTTCCCAATCCTGCAAAATCAAGAAATGTAATTATGTTACGATTCTGATCGTGAATTCAACGCGAATTCAAAAAACGAAATCAATTACACACGTCTCACATACACTCGTGCTTCCATGTGAATCAAGTCGGAGTTTTAGATACCAATTTGTTGAGCACAAGGTTGAAGATGAAGATGAGGATGAAAGAAGAGGGGGAAAAAGAAGAGAGAGAAAAACAATTGTAACAAACTTTTTAGAAAGATAAACTCTATTACTGCATTAATGAAAACGAAATCAAATGCCACATAAACACAACTGACAAATTTAAAACAAAAGAGACTCCAAAAGTTAAGCACAACTTCTAGAACAACAGCATCAGAAACTTCTGCTTTTAACTAACAATACTATTTCTGAATATAGATTATTTCTAACCAAACATATTGAAATATAGAAGTTGCAAGATCCTTATCTTCATCTCCATCTGCCTTTGACTGACAACATACCTGTTGATATCAGTTAACCTCCTCATAATGTTGTTAATGATTTGAGTTTTAGGGTCACCTTATATCATTGTATCTGGAATTGTGGTTTCAAAAACTACAAAGTTGGAAGATTCACCTTGTGGAACTCTGAGATTGAAAAACGTTTTCTTTATTGCCTTGTTGATGTTTGATCTAGTTGTTCTTTCGATTGTAGAATAAAAAAGAAGTTGGAAAACTAAAGTCTTAATTTGTTTAACAAATAAAATCAACAAACTATATCAAGCGTTTATAGACAAGGTGAAATCAAATAAAATATACACAAACTAAAAATATCTACGAAGTTGCTTAGAATAATGTAAATCACTATCTACAAAGATTTATGAATAAATTAACCTTTGAAATATTTTCTTTTGTATTAATCAAAGTATTATTTTACTACAATGGAAAACATGTTAATGTAGGTGGTATTGGAAATGTAATTTATTTAATGTCCACAATTCCCAATACTTACTCTTTATTAGGGCCTTTTGGCATTTTTGATTTCTAGTATAAATATGCTACCTAGGCTATCAATATTGTATCCCAAATTCATTCCTCTATTTGAATATTAAGAAGTAGTCCTCTTTGTTATCATTCATTGTTCATTCTTTATCTCTCCTTCCATTACCTTGCACCAACAAATTGGAATCTAGAGCTTTTGGTTCTGTTTTTCCTGGGAAACACGAGTGGTTGTGAGCTGTGTGTTTGAGTTTTGTTCTTTGATTTTCTGTTGAAATCTTGAACAAAATTCTGAACAAAATTTTGATTCTGTGGGTTGGGAAACAGTGTGTTTAAGATCTGAAAATCCGTGCAAGGTTTAAAATGAGTGGAGACGGTAGTTTGAACACTAAACTTCCAGTTTTTAATGGCAAAAACTGGAACAGATGGATGATACAAATGCGTGTACTGTTCGGTGCACAAGATGTTCTAGATTTGGTTACAGATGGTTATGTACCAGCTGCAGTAGATGCAACTGAAGAACAGAGAACTGCTGAGAGGTTGATGAGAAAGAGGGACCAGAAAGCTCTGTTCTATATCCATCAGTGTGTGGATGAAAATGTGTTCGAGAAGATTGTTGATTCAACAACGTCTAAAGGGGCGTGGGATTTACTGACGAGATGTTACGGTGGTGACGCATCAGTAAAGAAGGTGAAGCTTCAATCCCTACGAAAGCAATATGAGAACCTGAACATGAAGAGCAGTGAGAAAGTTTCTGAATATATCTCCAGAGTGATTCTGATCACTAACGAGATGAAGGCGTGTGGAGAAACTCTGACTGAACAGGTAATCATAGAGAAGATTCTGAGGTCGCTCATTCCTCAGTTTGATTACATTGTTGTTTCTATTGAACATTCTAAAAATCTGGAAACCATGAAAATAGAAGAATTACAAAGCAGCTTAGAAGCACATGATTTACGTCTGTCTGAGAGAACTTCTGAGAGAGAAGCTGAGCAAGATCTGAAGGCTTCTTTTGTCAAGAAAGACCAGAAGCAGAATAGACGTGGTGATAGATTCCAGAAGTCAGAAGCCTCAACTTCTGATGGTAAGAAGTATCATAAAGGAAAAGAGAGGTATGACAAAAGGAAGGTTCAATGTTACTCCTGTAAACAATTGGGCCATTTTTCCAGAGATTGTAGGTCAAACAGGGATAGGAAATCAGAAGAAGCATATATGGCTAAGAGAAACTCTGATGATGAACCTGTACTGCTAATGGCCTCTGACTCTGATGGAAAATGCTCAGAAGATTGGTGGTATATGGACACTGGATGCTCAAATCATTTAACTGGAAACAAACAATGGCTGACAGACTTTGACTCCAGAAGGAGTACAAAGATCAGATGTGCTAACGATAAGTATCTTAATGCAGAAGGTATGGGAGATGTCAGAATTAGAGTGAAGAATGGGAAAGACATTCTGATCAAAGACGTCTGGTATATTCCTGGTATTAGAAGCAATCTGATGAGCGTATGTCAGCTGATTGAGAAAGGCTTTTCAGTTGTTATGAAAAACAATCTTCTGACGTTGTATGATTCCAATCAGAAGTTAATTATGAAATCTGAACAAGGAGGCAACATAACATTCAAGGTGAATGTAGAAACAGCTGAAGCAACGTGCCTTAGTGCAGAAGGTGCTGAAAGTAACA